TTATATTGATGCCCTAGTCATATCAAGTTATATTGATGCCCTAGCTTCATCAAGTTATATTGATGCCCCAGTCATATCAAGTTACATTGATGCCCCAACTGCATTAAGTTATATTGATGCCTGTCATATCAAGTTATATTGATGCCCTAGTCATATCAAGTTATATTGATGTTCCAGTTATATCAGTTATACTGATGCCCCAACTGCATTAAGTTATATTGATGCCTGTCATATCAAGTTATATTGATGCCTGTCATATCAAGTTATATTGATGCTCTAGTCATATCAAGTTATATTGATGCCTGTCATATCAGGTTATATTGATGCCCTAGTCATATCAAGTTATATTGATGCCTGTCATATCAAGTTATATTGATGCCCCAACTGCATTAAGTTATATTGATGCCTGTCATATCAAGTTATATTGATGCCCCAGTCATATCAAGTTATATTGATGCCCTAGTCATATCAAGTTATATTGATGCCTGTCATATCAAGTTATATTGATGCCCCAGTCATATCAAGTTACATTGATGCCCCAACTGCATTAAGTTATATTGATGCCTGTCATATCAAGTTATATTTATGCCTGTCGTATCAAGTTATATTGATGCCCTAGTCATATCAAGTTATATTGATGTCCCAGTTATATAAAGTTATATCGATGGTCCAGTCATATCAAGTTATATTGATGCCCCAGCTTCATCAAATTATATTGATGCTGCAGTCATATCAAGTTATATTGATGCCCTAGTCATATCAAGTTATATTGATGCCCTAGTCATTTCAAGTTATATTGATGCCTGTCATATCAAGTTATATTGATGCCCTAGCTTCATCAAGTTATATTGATGCCCCAGTCATATCAAGTTTCATTGATGCCCCAACTGCATTAAGCTATATTGATGCCTGTCATATCAAGTTATATTGATGCCGCAGTCATATCAAGTTATATTGATGCCCTAGCTTCATCAAGTTATATTGATGCCCCAGTTATATCAAGTTACATTGATGCCCCAACTGCATTAAGTTATATTGATGCCCTAGTCATATCAAGTTATATTGATGCCCTAGTCATATCAAGTTATATTGATGCCTGTCATATCAAGTTATATTGATGCCCTAGCTTCATCAAGTTATATTGATGCCCCAGTCATATCAAGTTACATTGATGCCCCAACTGCATTAAGTTATATTGATGCCTGTCATATCAAGTTATATTTATGCCTGTCGTATCAAGTTATATTGATGCCCTAGTCATATCAAGTTATATTGATGGTCGCAGTCATATCAAGTTATTTTGATGGTTGCAGTCATAGCAAGTTATATTGATGGTTGCAGTCAAAGCAAGATATATTCATATGGACAAGAATCCCACCATGAGCAACAAGTAACAGACATGGAGACATAGACATACTTTATTTACAACCTTGCTTGATGGTGAGAACATACAAGTGCGACATGTCAACACATGAACCAAGACAAAGTTGGCAAACTGACAACATAAACTAATGGTCAGTAGAAGGTACTCCTACAGACGGAAGGTGGACCATGGAACAAGCAGGCCCGGACACAGCGGGTCAAATATCACACTAATATTGCATAAATCAAAGATTTCTACAGAATAGACAGAACAGTCCACTGTCACTTCTTTGACAGACGTTTGGGTACCAACCATTTGTTATTCTGGGGGGATGGGGAGGGGAAGGCTGGGACTTTGTCAAAAACAATATATTGTGCCAGAAAATAAATATATATTTTGGAAAAAATTACATTGTTAAACAGGGGCGGTCGGGTAGCCTAGTGGTTAAAGTGTTCGCTCGTCACACCGAAGACCTGGGTTCGATTCCAGACATGGGTTCGATTCCCGACATGGGTACAATGTGTGAAGCCCATTTCTGGTGTCACCCACTGTGATATTGCTGGAATTTTGTTAAAAGAGGCGTAAAACCTCACTCATTCATTGTTTAACAAAAGATTTAAGCTCAAAGTTTTATTAAAAATGATATCTGAAACTGAAACTAAAACGTATCTAGTCTCCATACAATCCCCACCATCTCCAGAATATCAAATGGTCGTCCCCTTAGAGGAAACTATTTTTTACTGATTCTAAACTGTTTGCAAAAACGGCTACTTGCTTCTTACATCTTGATGAATCCTATATTCAGGGTAGGATCAGAGAGTTTTTTGAAACGACTGGAATGTCAATAAGTCTTAGAAGCACCACAAAGAACTGATACAGCCTAAAGAATATCTTCACAACAGAGGTCCTACTAGAAAGTGCAGTGTTCAGGGGACTGATGATGGCAATCCAAGTCATCTGGACATTCAGTGTAACTGCCCATTGATTCCTTGCACTGAGATCCATGACCCATCGAGGACATGGTGCATGGGGGGAAGTAGTCAAAGAAGTTTATGAAAAGCATTAGAAAATGTCAACCAGCATTACAGAACTTCAGAAATCTGCCAGTCCTTCAAATTGTTTCCTGATTAACCTGTCTTTTGTCTCTTACGCCCAATAGAATCTGTTTGGACCGTGGATCGAGACCGATTATTTTTTGGCATTCACGCTTTATATTTTGTAACAAATTTTATATAAAAGAAGAAAATTAAATATTAAATACATTGCTGGTCTGTCACAGGATGTGATTTGCATCTATATTTCATATTATATACACGATATGTTTAATAAATGAATATAAATTGACTGAGTTTACTATTATCACTGTGGCATAGATAGAACTCAGTCTGTCAAATAGTTGTCAGGATCAACAAATAGGTTGAAAATACTGGCAAATATGTTATAATAATTAGTTGACATATATTTGAATCGGAAATTTTGAATATCAGTGTACAGATTGAAATAATATTGTCACATCTAGCATATTGCCTTTTTTGATAAGAAAGGAGGCAACACATCTGTGTATCAAATTCCCCTACTTTCTGAAAAGGACGAAAAGAAAAGAAACATGTGTACACAATATAGAAGAAATACATTCCATTTTTAAAATTTAAGAACATTATTGACACATATCTAGATGTAGTGCTAATAATGAACATAATAATGATACATTTATATGCATTAGTTACAGCTCTGTTGTGTATTGAGACATATATTGTTTAACTGTTGTCATAGTGCATTGACATTTGAGTGAGGGGTACAGAGAAGTCATACAAACTATGAAAATATGTTAGGCCACAGTAAATTAATTATTAGATTGTCATCCTAATTAATAAAACATTTGAGGCAGGAGGCATTTTATTATTCATACAATTTTTTATAAAGTGATACAAGCATCTGTGTCGGTGGATGTGTGTTCTACCTGATGCATGGATGTCTAGTGAGACGACCATATTAAATGGAGTGTGTCATCAAGGTAAGAAACAACGAATTCACACACTGTGATTTTCTTTCAGGTACTGGGGGACAGTCCCAGAGATCAAGTGCAGTGGGTAGTTGTGGGGTGGGGACAGCTGGGCTATAAATATAACCAAGGTATTATAACCTTACAGCAAGCCTAAGAAGTGTTGTGTGAGTTATCTGCCCTTATAGTGAACCAAGTTCAACAAAATGACCACGTTAAAAATTACACCTGGGTCAACAACAAAAACAGGGCCTGTAAAATGTATGAAAACTGAGGTAATCTCCAAAAAACAAAAGCAAAAGAATTGTTTTGGATAATCAAATTTTTTGGTTTCCCGAGTTACCTGTTGAAACGAAGGACTCGTCCGACCTTAACACAATGGTATGGTATTTCAATCAACTCTTCCCATCAAGTAAGTCAGTGACCGTAAAACATATATACATTACCCTACACTGAACCAGTTAGCTACATCAGTCCTCCACTCCAGTCAAATTCATCATTAACATAACTTCATCAATAGCATCAATGCAAAAACAATAAAAGACTAGTTGCTTTTGGGGTCATTATTCCACAATCACAAAAGTTTGGAAATTAAAGTTGAAAGATATTTTCATTTTTCCACAGGTGGTCTAACAATTTTGATTAAAATCGCTTAGCAAATTATTTATGACTAACAAAGTACATTAAAACAAACATGTGATATATCTATCTATATGAACAGCTTAAACTGTTTAATGGTAGACACAAATTTGACACATGATATCCATTGCAGTTCATTCTTTGACTTGTGCCATAATCCCATGTTTGTTCAGGTGAACACTTGCTTTGCCTTTGCATGTGTTTGTGATGGCCGTCACCACTGGGGCTGGATATGCTCACCTTTCTTATGATTAAGGAAATGGTTTTGTTGCTATTTTTTACAAAAATTTGGAACATGAACCGATTCCTAAAGATACACCTAACTTCAAAATTTCAGCTCCTTTGAATACTTATATTCTGGTTCAGTTAAATTGAATATGCATAGTATATATTGTACTTTCAATGAAATGTCTGTTGGATTTATTATTGAAATTATGTTATAAGAAATTAGTTTTCTGATTACAAATAGATGAAACCATGACAGTGTAACAATAGATTAACACAAATTCTGAATAAACATTGTTACTATAACAATCTAGTTTCTTTTCAGCAAAAACATGTATTTGAATGACTGCACACATCATTAGCACAGGTAACTTATACTAAAGCTATATAAGGACTTCAAATAACGGAGTGTTTTGTTATAGTCAAAAGTTGGCATAACTGTTTAGAATGTCACTGAATGTGCACTATAATATTTGCAACAGAGATACGGTAGTATGGTTGAACACATGAATCTACCAACTAATAACGAACAGTTGTTACTCAGAAAATATAAAGCTCCATAAAAATGAGAAACAACAATTCCACAATGTAAATAAAGTAAATATTGCAGAAATGGTTAAGTGCATGAAATGTATTTTTGTGATTCAACTGTTCACGTGATATCTGTACTAACACAAAATGAATGAAGTTAAAAGTCTCAGATGTTTTTCAAGCTTCATAATTTACAATATTTCCTTGTTTGGTCAATATCAGCATAAAGCAAATTAATTCAGTGACCTTTACAAAAAGAAGCAACAATGTATCAAGTTATTGGGTTAGCATGTTAAATAATCATATATTATACCAATTAACACAAATTTGTTCAGAGAGCAAGCATTAACTTTAAACAATTACAAAATGTATACACTACTGAAAGTCATCCAGTGAATAATGAGTCTGCTTAATAGCTCTGCTGTTGATCAAAGATGGTATGACATGACTTCATTAAGCAATATGCCTTTGATCAAAGAAGGTATGACATTACTCCATTAGGCCATACTCTGTGCATCAAAGATGATATAACATGAATCCATTAGACCATATGCTGTTGATCAAAGATTGTATGACTTGACTTTAAGCAATATGCCTTTGATCAAAGATGGTATGACATGATTTCATCAAAGCTATATGCCTTTGATCAAAGATAGTATGACTTAACTTCAAACATATGCTTTTGGACTGGATTGGTATGACTTGACATCATCAAGCAATATGCCTTTGATCAAAGAAGGTATGACATAACTCCATTAGTGGATATGCCATTGATCAAATATGGTATGTCATGACTTCATTGAGCAATATGCCTTTGATCAAAGAAGGTATGGCATGGCTCCATTAGGTCAAATACTGTTGATCAAACATGGTATGCCAAGACTCCATTAGGCAATATGCATTTGGTCAAAGAAGGTATGACATGTCTTCATCAGGCCATATGCTGTTGATCAAAGAAGGTGAGACATGTCTTCATCAGGCCATATGCTGTTGATCAAACATGGTATGACATGTCTTCATCAGGCCATATGCTGTTGATCAAAGAATGTATGACATGTCTTTATCAGGCCATATGCTGTTGATCAAAGAAGGTATGACATGTCTTCATCAGGCCATATGCTGTTGATCAAAGAAGGTATGACATGTCTTTATCAGGCCATATGCTGTTGATCAAAGAAGGTATGACATGTCTTCATCAGGCCATATGCTGTTGATCAAAGAAGGTATGACATGTCTTCATCAGGCCATATGCTGTTGATCAAAGAAGGTGAGACATGTCTTCATCAGGCCATATGCTGTTGATCAAAGAATGTATGACATGTCTTTATCAGGCCATATGCTGTTGATCAAAGAAGGTGAGACATGTCTTCATCAGGCCATATGCTGTTGATCAAAGAATGTATGACATGTCTTCATCGGGCCATATGCTGTTGATCAAAGAAGGTGAGACATGTCTTCATCAGGCCATATGCTGTTGATCAAAGAAGGTGAGACATGTCTTCATCAGGCCATATGCTGTTGATCAAAGAATGTATGACATGTCTTCATCGGGCCATATGCTGTTGATCAAAGAAGGTGAGACATGTCTTCATCGGGCCATATGCTGTTGATCAAAGAAGGTGAGACATGTCTTTATCAGGCCATATGCTGTTGATCAAAGAAGGTGAGACATGTCTTCATCAGGCCATATGCTGTTGATCAAAGAAGGTATGACATGTCTTCATCGGGCCATATGCTGTTGATCAAAGAATGTATGACATGTCTTCATCAGGCCATATGCTGTTGATCAAAGAAGGTGAGACATGTCTTCATCAGGCCATATGCTGTTGATCAAAGAATGTATGACATGTCTTCATCGGGCCATATGCTGTTGATCAAAGAAGGTGAGACATGTCTTCATCGGGCCATATGCTGTTGATCAAAGAAGGTGAGACATGTCTTTATCAGGCCATATGCTGTTGATCAAAGAAGGTGAGACATGTCTTCATCAGGCCATATGCTGTTGATCAAAGAAGGTATGACATGTCTTCATTGGGCCATATGCTGTTGATCAAAGAAGGTGAGACATGTCTTCATCAGGCCATATGCTGTTGATCAAAGAAGGTGAGACATGTCTTCATCAGGCCATATGCTGTTGATCAAACATGGTATGACATGTCTTCATCAGGCCATATGCTGTTGATCAAAGAAGGAATGAGATGACTTCATCAGGCCATATGCTGTTGATCAAAGAAGGAATGATATGACTTCATCAGGCCATATGCTGTTGATCAAAGAAGGAATGATATGACTTCATCAGGCCATATGCTGTTGATCAAAGAAGGAATGATATGACTTCATCAGGCCATATGCTGTTGATCAAAGAAGGAATGATATGACTTCATCAGGCCATATGCTGTTGATCAAAGAAGGAATGATAAGACTTCATCAGGCCATATGCTGTTGATCAAAGAAGGAATGATATGACTTCATCAGGCCATATGCTGTTGATCAAAGAATGTATGACATGTCTTCATCAGGCCATATGCTGTTGATCAAAGAAGGTATGACATGTCTTCATCAGGCCATATGCTGTTGATCAAAGAAGGTGAGACATGTCTTTATCAGGCCATATGCTGTTGATCAAAGAAGGTGAGACATGTCTTCATCAGGCCATATGCTGTTGATCAAAGAAGGTGAGACATGTCTTCATCAGGCCATATGCTGTTGATCAAAGAAGGTGAGACATGTCTTCATCAGGCCATATGCTGTTGATCAAAGAAGGTGAGACATGTCTTTATCAGGCCATATGCTGTTGATCAAAGAAGGTGAGACATGTCTTCATCAGGCCATATGCTGTTGATCAAAGAAGGTGAGACATGTCTTCATCAGGCCATATGCTGTTGATCAAAGAAGGTGAGACATGTCTTCATCAGGCCATATGCTGTTGATCAAAGAAGGTGAGACATGTCTTCATCAGGCCATATGCTGTTGATCAAAGAATGTATGACATGTCTTTATCAGGCCATATGCTGTTGATCAAAGAAGGTGAGACATGTCTTCATCAGGCCATATGCTGTTGATCAAAGAAGGTGAGACATGTCTTCATCAGGCCATATGCTGTTGATCAAAGAAGGTGAGACATGTCTTCATCAGGCCATATGCTGTTGATCAAAGAAGGTATGACATGTCTTCATCAGGCCATATGCTGTTGATCAAAGAAGGTGAGACATGTCTTCATCAGGCCATATGCTGTTGATCAAAGAAGGTGAGACATGTCTTCATCAGGCCATATGCTGTTGATCAAAGAAGGTGAGACATGTCTTCATCAGGCCATATGCTGTTGATCAAAGAAGGTATGACATGTCTTCATCAGGCCATATGCTGTTGATCAAAGAAGGTATGACATGTCTTCATCAGGCCATATGCTGTTGATCAAAGAATGTATGACATGTCTTCATCAGGCCATATGCTGTTGATCAAAGAAGGAATGAGATGACTTCATCAGGCCATATGCTGTTGATCAAAGAAGGAATGATATGACTTCATCAGGCCATATGCTGTTGATCAAAGAAGGAATGATATGACTTCATCAGGCCATATGCTGTTGATCAAAGAAGGAATGATATGACTTCATCAGGCTACATAATTAAATACAGCTGCTTCAAAACAGACTGAACTGAGGAGTAGCTAATCCTGCACACCTAATATTCAATCTGGGGTTCTAGCTGACTGAACGAATCAAATCTAACAAATGGCTAGATACTTGCTGAAAACAATGTTTAACATCAATAAATACATAAATGGTACAGAAAAACTTCCAATTCAGCTCCTTGTTTCCAGAGTAATGTATTATGCATGATGCTTTAGCATCCACAAATCATTGTCCATGTGTCAGCAATGAATACAATGGTAGAAAAGTCATTCACATTGCACAACCATGTTCAGTGTGTTCGTCTTGAACCTTGCATAAGTATCCCTACTGCATGGTAACACTATCAATACTGTGTAACATTTGAATACTGACCTGAATAGAGATCAAACACCAGTTCTCAGACTCACATTTGGTTAAGTGTGTATGGTACTGAATTGAAACAACACATCATCATCATCAAACGACAATGATAATGCCTTGCATATTGCAAGCATTTATGTATCCTTCAAATGCACTGGTCTTGATATATAAGCTGTCGAGCTGTTTCAATGACTGTCACAAATAGTCTTTCAGATATCTAACCAAATTCATAACATTAATTACTGCAATAACATTCTTGTCATTTGGTTGTCAAAGGTAATACTGAAATATAACAATGTCACATGTTCATGGTGAACATGACATGTTAATATGTTCCCCAGTGTACGACACATCTCATTCATTTGTCCCCAGTAAGTATGTGTGGAGGCTAATGTCTTATCAATAGTGTAGTAGACACATTAGTAGCATCACTATAGCCCTCAATGAGATGGAACTACCATATTGTCTTATCATTACTAGTTGTGCTCTGTCATGAGCATCCGGATATCCATCAAAGAAGAATTATCATACTATCAATACCGGACTTCTTTGGATCCGTATTGTCTGTGATGAATAGTGTATCCTTTCGGACTTAAGAACTACTTCCTTGGGACACTGTGTAGTCTCTTCCATAAGCTCACTGATGCTGCAGACATCATTACAGACACTTTTATGTCTCCAGGATTCATCATGGCAATGGGGATTCTTGTTATTTAGCAAACAGATCATGTTCACTGATTCATCCTCTGCATTTCGAACACTGAATGCTGTCATTCATCATCAAGATGGGACTTCATATTTGATCTCTTGCCCATCATTCATCATTCAGCAGCTGAACAGGCATCTCATTCCTTAGGGATTACAATAGTGATGTTTAACACTAAATCTTAAATGAAACGATGAGTTAAATTTCTGCAATGACAAAATTATTGTCTTCAAACGTCTGTTTCATCATGTGATAAGAGGCACGTTTTTGATGGGTCTTAAAACTAGGTTCGGGGGGAGGTACAGCGCCGTTGTCCATCTTGTCCATGTGTCCCCCATCACCCTCACCACCCATTTTGCCATCGATGAAACTTGTATGCATCATACACTGACTCCGTGACGGACTCATGGAGTCGCGAGATACCTGTCTCTGATTGGCTAATGGCTGTTCCTGTGACAACGACTTTGTGACATGCTTTGACCGATAGCAGTATACAACTAGAATGACCAGTCCAATGACACCGAGACTGGGCAGAGCTATGCAAGCGGTCATTATCAAGATTTCTCGGGGACCTGAAAAATAGAATAAATAAATATGTTCACTGGCCGTGACTAAAATGCATCTCTCATCACCAGGATTTATTTTTTTTCATCAGAGGGCATAAAATGAATTCACACATCCCAACAAAGATGCTACTTGTACAGCTTAGTTAAGGAAGAAAAGCTCACTTCTTCATTAATATCAGACAATTTTTATATTCATAAAAGTCATATTGAAATGGAATTACGAACTAGACAAAATATTATCAATCTTCTTGAACAAATGTATTTTGATGGCATATTATAGCTAAACCACAAGACGATAAAAATGAGTTTTCATGGCCTTTAAATATAAATGTATGGCCAAATAACTCAACATATATAAGTTTGAAAGTGTAGGATACGTGTTCTTTTAATCTTCATAATGATTGCCTGATGTTACGTTTATTGAACTTACACATTCTGATGAAAAATATTTGTAACTTAGATAGGAATTTGCATGAAGGACTGGGTTTTTCAATTTTACACCTCCAGACCAAGTTTCATTTGTTTATATTGACACAATCAATACATGAAATTGTAAACAACATACTGGTAACAAGCTACCATATTACAACAATTTACATATATAATAAACATCAGTTAATTTGTATTTTTTACAATTTGTCAAATAAGTGTACAGTGTTTCTTGATAGTGTGTTTATTGGTACACGCCATCTTACATCTCCTCTCATCACTGTCGTCAAAGGGCCCACAGTTGGGGATGCGATCGCATCGCAGGGACTTGTTGATGCAGTAGCGGGGCATGGAGGGGCATATCGTGGAAATGCAGGACTTCCCTCCTTCACACAGAAACTCGTCACAGTTTCCTGCTGGAAAAAACAGATTCCATGTGTGCAAAACAATATATTACTCTGTTAATACAAATAACATGTTTTACCACCTCCCTACTCACTGGCACTTAAAACTTTTAATGAAAATAGTGTGAGCGGCAGATGCTACCATTAGAGCAGGACATGATCACGCTTCTCAGGAACACCTGGTGTCTTCAATGATGTTCAATGATCCACTCATAAAACTTTCATCATTATAATGCAGATTTTGGAACCTGTTTTGGCAGATATTCGAGCCTGAGATTTCTCTGGGATTGACTTTTTGAATTATGTGAATGAATGAATGAATGAATGAATGAGGCCCGTGAAGATCCGGGGTAGAATAGGTCTTAGGCAACCCATGCTTGTCGTAAAAGGCGACTAACGGGATCTGGTGGTCAGGCTCGCTGACTTGGTTGATGCATGTCATCAGTCCCAATTGCGTGGATCGATGCTCATGTTGTCAATCACTGGATTGTCTTGTCCAGACTCGATTATTTACAGACCGCCGTCATATAGCTGGAATATTGCTGAGTGTGGCGTTAAACAAAAAAAATAATAAATAAATAAATAAATAAGAATGAATGAATGAATGAATGAATGAATGAATGAATGAATGAATGAATGAATGAATGAATGAATGAATGAATGAATGAATGAATGAATGAATGAATGAATGAATGAATCATAACCAGTTTTGAATACCTGATGAAACAGATTCCGTTGGGCATAAAGGCAAAATAGCAGTGCAAATTAAATGAATGAATCACTGAAAATCATTGATGACTCCTGGTGTTCACGAAAAGGGTAAGCATGTCCTGCCTCACTGGTAGCACCTGCCAATCACGCAATTTGCAAATGAAGTTGTGTTTGTTGCCTGACACCAGACAGTAGTACTCCCGGCATCCTGTAAACAAACCAGACCATGGGCTGAAATCCTGCCACATGATAGTGCATTTACAGATTTTGTTGAAACTAAAAGTGACATTTGATGTTGAATATTGTGCCAATTGACGTAGTGGCAGTGATAAGATGCAATACATGAGGCCATCTGTATTTTTTGCCTGCTCTTCTGAAAATACCATCCAACTAAAAAATGAAACAACCTTTTTTTCTCCACCAACTGGTCCATCTGGACATATATTTCCCTCTCTTGAAAAAATGAACAGATTTCCTGTTTTATTGAAAGGAGAATCAAGAAGGGCACGCACGCACGCACGCATGCATGCATCAATATGTAATCGCAATAGTCTTGGATGCTTCTCCAAAAAGGGAACTGAGTATGCTCAACATTTGAGGCTGGATGTTTCTGGTTGGTCAAAATAGAGACTGAATGCTGACACCCACTGACCATGCCACACATTGTCACCATCTGATCGTCATTAGTTAATACATGGGTTCTGGGACCTATTTTGCCACAGAATCCCCAGAGTTAATGGGCAGAACAAGCATGACAGTAAATGATCATTGTGATGTCCCATATGTTTTCTCAGGTTGTTTGAGTAAGGTTCACTCTAATCAGACACTCACCGGTATATATTCAGACCTAATCAGGTATGAAAATAATATCACACTTCATCGCAGAGAAACTAATTTTTCTATTGTTTTCATGTGTACATCTCTTTACCTGAAACCAAATCACTTTGAAACCCAGTGCCTGTCAGTCGAATTCCAGACCAACCATTAAAAATACCATTGGCGCTGACATGGATTTGTTACAAGATGGTGATCTAACCATCATTTGATGGTCCCTGATGTATTGGCCTTTACTTTTGTGTCAGTCTCTCATCCACTATTGTCAAGCCACTGGGGAAACCTCTATTAGGCTTGTGTATTTCACAATACTCAGCATTGCCATAATTAATCTAAATTGACTGAGAAAATATTGATCTTGTTTTAAAAATCTTAGTTGGAATGACATTCCAGCACGACATCAGGAAGAGATCGTTGTCAAAGGAGTCATGTGACACCATGGGCTTAGTTCGAGAGCATGTCAGCACTCGAGGCAACACGTTACAGGCCATCACTGCATTGGCCAATCTCATTAAAACCTGTCTTTCAATATTGGAGTTGAGTTTGCTGAAAGGTTTTATAGACCCGTTGTGTCCAACTGTTTGAAACCACTGAAAAGGTTAGTTCTTCATAACCCAGGTCGTAGTAACCGCCATTGATTTCGGAAAAAACACATTTCCAAACTGATGCTAGAAATAGGTTTTGAGTGTGCCTCCATAGTGTTTACTTTGAGGTTCAATAATCTTGGACATTGTTAAAGAAGGACTTACCAGTCTGTGAATCCAACTCAGACTTTATGAGATTCATGTATTGTTATGCTTTCTCAGATTAGAAAAGGTTCTATATCTCAATGAGGCTTCAACAAACATGGGGTGGTACTTAGAACACTATGACTGGAGGTTTGGCAAGTTCAAAGATTTAAGGGTTTAAGTGAGTATACACTTTTGGACAACCAGTAAAAAGCAGATACATCTGAAGCAGGAGAAGAGTATGGTTTTACACCACTTTTAGCAATATTAAAGCAATATCACAGCAAGGGACACCAGAAATAAGTTTCACACATTGTACCCATGTGGGGAATCGAACCCGGGTCTTCGGCGTGACGAGCGAACGCTTTTACCAGTAGGCTACCCGACCGCCCACTGGGCCTTTGGGGTGACAACAAACCCTTTAACCACAAGGCTACCCACCGTCCATGAAGATTTAGAAATAATCACCTGACCAGCAGATTCATTCTCATTCTCACTGAAATCAGATTTTCCCTGTCAAACCTTGATAAACCTTCATTGAAGATCATGTCAGGTGGACTTTCTAATCAGGCAATCGGCTTAGCATCAAAGTCAAAGTCTCAGTACAAATGAGTGGAGTGTTTAGAGATCTGATTTGTGTATCTCAAAACAAGTATATGGACAATTCTAAACAATAACAACTGTTCTGTATTGTGGATATTATACACACTGTTGTGAGGAAGTGCCATGACATTTACACTCAAAATGGTGTTCTGTCCTGGGAACATTTGTGTTTTCTGTATTTATTGTTTTTTGAGTTTTGTTCACATGGAAATTTCTGAAGTGGTAAATAAATGCAAGAAGCAGAAACTGCAAACAGCAACGGATTGTATTCCAAAGATACAGAATATAGCAACTCCAAAACATTTTAGAGTCTTTGTAAATTCATAATTCATATATGCCTGGGTTTCTGCAATCTCATTAAAATCAGATCTTAGTTCTCGCTATCGCTAAGCAAAGATCTGAGGACATCCAACTACGGGTCACGTTAGAACGATCTTTTATGTGACCAATCAAAGTGTTGCTTACCAGATCATGAAAGTGACAGTTGGAATGTGTTTTCTAATCATGAAACCTCGAAAACGTTAACACGGGGTATTCCGAATGACATTTACGGCCCATACACCTGATTCCATCAAAATCATCATCTATCTATCGCTTCCATGGGAGAAACATTTGAATGGAAGAGGCGTTGCACAGTATGTAGGGAGCACTGCCATACATTCTCAGCCATATACTAGTATTAGACATTCTGGAATGTTCATTTGTTAAGTTTTCAAAATTTTAATCGAGAACTGTGTCAACATATTTTTCAAGCGGAGTCTGAAATGGAAGTCACCAGGTTGAAACGAGTGCCGTAAAGCTCGAGATGTCGACATCTTGTGAGTCATTTCAGTGGTCGGTCAAAGTTCGCGAAAGGTCGTTCTGACTTGACCCGTAATGGGATGTCCTCAGATCTTTGTTTGGCGACAATGAGAACTTAGATCTCATTTTACATATACTACTCAAAATAATCTTTAAAAAATTTGTTTTTTGGCTATGACAAACTTCTTCTGTGTAGTATATATAAAAACATTAGTTACATGAGAAAATGTCTCTTATTATATAACGCAGATAATATTTCAAACTTGGATAGCGTAAAAACAGTTTGAAACATTCTTCAGCATTTCCATGACATTTCTAAAGACAAATAATCAAGCAATACACCGACAAACAAGCCAGAGAAACTTACACAAAGAATGTTTCATAAAAACATACACATGTATTTCTAGATGGAATGTCATTCTGCAGTTTGGTCCTCTTGCTAAGATCCCACTGGGAAATCTTACACTTGCCCTAACAAAGCCGTAATTTGGTTAAAAAATCTACTTTAGTGCCTTTCAATAGTTAATCTAAAACGGTTACCATTGTAGCAAAGAAATAAAAAAATTGCAAGGAATTAATTCATCGTTTTTCTTCCCTGAATAAAGTGAAAACCTAACCACTTTCCCTATTACTTAATTTGAGTAAAAGTCTATGTTTTTTTCTGAAATCATTTGGAATCCAAAGAGAGCCCTAATGTCTAAAGGATTACATTCATTTTGTGTCCCATTTCAACACTATTCAATCGCCAGTGCTTTGAGGTTCTTCTAGGATCACAGGAGTTTTTTAAGGGGAAGAGAAACTGATTGCAGTTTGATTTTGTGATTAGAATTCTTATTTCTTTAAGGAAAGTGGAACTCTAAGTTGTGTCTTTTAACCCACACAAGTTTCTCATCAAATCCTCCAAAGACCAATGACAGTTTATGAGGTCATGTGTCCATCGCCCGGGAAATGACGAAGTAGCCCAATTCCGTGGCTCTTTCTTAGTGCGTTACCATTTGCAACAAATTGCAGATATCTTATTTATCTGAACTCACATCTGTAGGTGATGAATGGATTGACAATATTTGCTTCAACTATACTACTGTGAGCGCCATTGGTCTTCAGAGAATAGAAATTTAATTTTCTGGGGTGAGGGTGCCTCAGATATTTACGGAAATAAATAAACCTGCTTGTAATTAACTTGAAAAATAACCTTTCTCTACTTTACGACTTAACTAATTGCCAGATGAAAGTGTAGATTTGTGATCATGTTTTATGGATGCCAGAATTTTTTTGATCATTATACACATCATAGTGAGTGAATGAGTATGGTTTTACGCCGCTTTTAGCAATATTCCAGCAATATCATGGCGGGTATACACATCATAGATTCATAGTGAAGATGTAAAATTATCAAAATGTATTTGGAAATATCAATTGCTGTTTCTGCACAGAGTGACATTGTGAGTAACTTAGGGCTGGTACGGGTAACTCGGGTCAGGTTGGTCATGAGTAGGAACAGGTACCCAAAGGACTACCCAGACCCATAATTAGTCATGTGATATATTGTTTAATGACAAAAACTCACTATTCTATTTCTATGTCACCACACATAACTTATTCATCATTTCGTTATTCTTTGTTGTTACTCCAGTGGAGCTGGAATACGTTACTAGAAAACCACTAGAAAGATGGCACCAATCTCACCTAATCTTAGTCTTTCATTTCCATATTTAGTCCAAACTAAAGTTTTACAGATTTAATGCCCCACTACCTGAAAGTGGGAGGGGGTGGGGGTAGGGGGGTGGGGGTAGGGGTGTGGGGAATAAAAATAAGAGTATTAATATAAAGAACATATGAAGAACAATGAATAAATTTATCAAAGCGTTGTGTCTTAACCCATACTTTCTTAAGTTAACCTCTTTCTAAGTTTATTATAAGGCAGCTTGTGATGTGTACTCACTAGGGAGCTGGGAATGTAATTCAAATGCACACTGATCCTTTAACAGGAGTAATAATAATATAGCTTGATGAATGGAATGACAGAACTCCAGATAACTCTTTGAGCAATTGAGTTTTTACTGGAAGGTTTTTATTTTAATTGGGTTATTACATTTTTCATTGGGTAACCAATATTTTTTCACTCATCTATTCATCACTCTATTGGGTTTTTCCCAAAATGAGTTAACATTTTGAGATTTCCAAAATAAATAAATAATGTTTTTGATGTATATAAGGGTTCTAACTATAAGCTTGACTCAGAAAGTAAATTAGCCTGTTATTGTGTTTCGTAAATTAGCTCCATTGTACGCATGCTGAAAAAGCTTCATTGAATATTTACGCATGCTGTTTTATACATTTGTGTTTTCCATCTAATGCATGCGTTTCTGTATGCAAGTTAATTGAAAGTAATTGGGTTTTGAATATTTTTTTATGGGGGGGGGGGGTTATTTTATGCAAATACACAGCTTATCTATAGCTCTGTTCATCATCATCATCATCATCATCATTATTATTTAGATTATTTATAGATTAAAATACAAAATGGCAGCAAAGAGGGTTTGGGTGATCCTGGCACAGTCAGGCTTGTTAGGTTCATCATCAGATCAGGGCCCTTGCCCCCTCTACACGCACCCCAGACAGCGAAAGGGACTTCTCCCAGGAGGAAGCGCTGCCAGTCAAACCCACCGAGAGCTTCATCATCATACCAATGTCAGCCAGACTGCAGAATCAGGCGCCATTAAAGCATTCATAACATTTCCCAACCAGTCTACAACATGAAGGGGCGGTCAGGTAGTCTTGTGGTTAAAGTGTTCGCTTGTCATGCCGAAGATCCAGGTTCGATTCCTGACATGGATACAATGTGAGAAACCCATTTCTGGTGTCCCCTGCCATGATATTGCTGGAATAATGCTAAAAGTGGCATAAAACCATACTCACTCACTCACTCACTCACTCACTCACTCACTCACCCCGACAGCATGAAACCCACCAAGTTGTCTGACCCATCTCCTATTATTTCCAAAACATGCTACTGGTGTCAATTATACACAGAACTTTCATTACAGAGTGTTAACCTCAATACTGTAAAACCTTCTGTGTGCCATGCGGCCAATATGATTTGGTAAAAGGCTAAATCATTTTATCGCTGTGGTCACAAAAAATAAATTCTAAATTCTTCTGATGATATCAACTCAATATTTGGAATCGAGAACTGGGGACTATTTTCAGCATTAAAATGGCAGGAAATAATTACAAGAGGCCAAAATAAACACTGCTGAAACTCACCCAAAAAAACTTAATCTAAAATCAATGCTGACTAGTCGATGATATTAAGTCAGTTAATATTAGTCAGAGATATTAGCTTCGTCCCAATCTTTGTCCTATTTTTTTATATTTTGTCAGCCTCAAATTCACATTTGTCCCTGTACCCTGGATATCTTGGGGAAAATGATCTTATGAACAAACTGTCTTAGTAAGTATTAAGAATGTATGGTAATTAAAACAACAGTGAGTGAGTTCGGTTTAACGTCGCTTTTAACAGTATTCCAGTTATATCACGGCGTGTCAGCTTAATGTGGGAGGAAAGCCTGAAGTGATGCAGGTCTTAGATGTTTACCACTTCGGTGAAACCCACGAGCACGGGAATGGCGCTGACAAACCTAGAAACATAATTGTAGCGAACCGGGATTCGAACCCACAATCATAGATTTCTGGCGTGCCCAAGGGATGCAACTCTGCACAGCGAATTGTGGCGCCTTAGACTACTGGGCCACCGGTGCCCCCTTACTTGTGTAAGCTGCCAAACTCTAACCCCCTTCAGAGTTCTGGAAACTCCCAGAGTATAGCCCCGGGGGTCGATTCTGGGAGAGGGGGTAGATTCTGTGTGCTCCCACAATCTACTCCGGGGTAGATTCTGGAAGGCCCCAGAATCTACCCAGGTATACTTTGAAAGGCGGGGGGGTATACTTTCAGACTTTACATCGGCACTAATCACCTTAAACACTCCTTAAGTATAATATACTACTCAATAGATGTTAAAGAACACCCAATGTTTTCAAATGACTATAGTTAGTCTATCATGGCTGTGACAGATTAACTATAGTCATATTGACAAGTTGGTGTTTTTAACTTCTTTTGAGTAGTTTTTACGACTTAAACAAACAAGGATGTGTAGATTCACTGAGGATGTGTTCTGTATAGTGACTGCAGGCAACACACTGTAGTTTCATCTGGACATTTCACTTACCGTTTCCAGGTATCCTCACTGCTGACCAGCTCAGTTTGAATCCAGTGCTTCCAAAAGTATTGCCAGTCACTGACACAAACCTGCAACATCATGTAAAAAAGATAATAAGGATAATAATGATGATAATTCTACTACTAGTTATTATTTGTATGGCCTAAGGCTTAAATGCATAGATGTTTCTGAGAAATTATTAATTTTTTGTTTTGCAAACTCAAATATTGATTTTAATGCCACTCTCAGAGACTTGTAATGGGGCTAGGACCTTCCTAAAGTGTCAAGCTTATCCATCTTTTCAAAAAAGATATCACAAGTTATGTCCTGACAATGTTTGTTTGTTTGTTGTTTAATGCCGCACTCAGCAATATTCCAGCGTAGTCCTGACAGCAGCCTGTAAGATCGAGTCTAGACAGACAATCCAGTGATTGATACTGTAAGCAAGGATCTATGTCATCAGAGTATGATGATGCACTATCAACCAAGTAGCAAGTCCATTTGGTCACCTCTAAGTATAGTATTAAAATATTATACATTTATATACCTAGGTATCCAGGTACTATGTTCTCCAGTGCGGTTTTATTTCTTCCCCGACCAGTACATTCGTTTGAATTCCAGATACCATTCTCAACTCTGAGGAGTATACAACTCAAGCTGCCTACAGCACTAGAGGGTGTTTACATCCACCTCACATGTCGGGTACCCATTCCGTTAGCTGAACAGAGGCACATTTGAACTTATTTACTTGCCCAGGTGACACCACATGTTTTGACACTTGTGATTCGGGTGTATGTACGTATTCTTGTTTCCACCATCTGGTCATCTAGCATTGGACGAGTGAGTTAATTCTCTTGTGAGGTGAGGTGAAATTGCGTTTAACGCCGCGTTCAAGATTATTGCACTTATATAGCGACATGCATGCACGTGTGTGTGTGGCTGCTTGTACTAGTCCCGACTGATGCCGATTTATAGTGCTAGCCCACTGAGATACCATGCCGCAGTTTAACATGAATACCCCTTCAGACACAGTATACTGACTCCGAACCGACCAGTCCTTGTTTTAGCCCCTTAATGCCGAGCGCAAGACAGGGTAACAACAAGTACCATCTTCTAACGTCTTTTGGTATGATGCGGCCGGGGATCGAACCCCGGACCTTCCTCTCTCCGGGCGGACGCTCTACCACTAGGCCACGGAGGCAGTCTAATTCATTTGAGTGCATAGGGTGAATGTACGATAGAGGTAGTGACAACCAGCATAGGTAGCTGGGGACCTATTCTGACCAAGAATCCCGACTGGGGTCAAGCCAATGGACAGATAATGGATAACACTTCTCCCCATTGTCAGAGATCTCATTACAGAGTTTATGCCTCACATATATAGATCTTGTTGTTTCTTTGTAAATATCCATGACAACAGGAAGAGTGAGCGAGTATGGTTTTACGCCGCTTTTAGCAATATTTCAGCAATATCACTGCGGGGTACACCAGAAATGGGCTCCACACTTTGTATCCATGTCGGGAATCGAACCCGGGTCTTCACCATGATGAGAGAACACTTTAACCGCTAGGCTACCCGACCTCCCTGACAACAGGAAGAACGGAAGACAAGCCGCAGACATCAGCAGAAAATTTCACATCAGGTGAGATAAAAATCACAACCGTATAACGCTTGCAAAATTTTGTCTGATGTCAAATCAAGACAATATTATCTATCTCCTCTGTTAACTGGTACATGGATCTGTCAGAGCTCAAAGAAACAAGCCTCACAGCTCAGTGTCTTTAATTACCACATGGTCAATGGAGGTGAACTCAGAACCCCCAACACACCATCAAACATTTGCACACAATTAAGAATCTGCTCGAAGACTCTTTTATTACATTCATCCTCCTGGTAAATGTCACCAAGTGCACATGTCAGAGAGATGCGGTTGTCAGATTAACATTTTCACATGGTGTGAACATAACGATTAATTTCAGACTGCTGACATTTCAAGCATTTGAAGTTCGATCTGAAATTCAAAACTCATTCTACAGCAACAACTCAAAAAGAGAAAATGTGTTAAAGACTGTCCATTAAGGTTAAACACTTTCCAGCTTCCAGCTTCCTGCAGATGAGTTTGAACTTGCTCACTTCTCACTTCCTGTTATACTGATGGTAAATGGTTAAGCAACAGTGTTTCATGTTTCCCACTGAGATGTGTAGAATATGGCATTCTATATTCAGTATTGCAAATACAGTGCCATACAACAGACTACTGGAAATGGACAAATTTCCCATGGAATAAAAGATAGCCAAATTGTTCCACTTGTAGATGACTTGAACAATTAACAAAGGAAGTCTTAATTATTGAGCAAATTTTCACTGGATGGCGCTGTAGTCACCCCACTTCATAATATTTAACGCATGATTTGCAATTTGGGTTTACTCTATGGATGCTTTTGCAGAATAAAATTTCTGGAAAAATGAACTTTTGAATATTTAAGCTAGTGGAATTTGAAATTGTCCAGTACATTTTAAGACTAGCTAGCCAAACTGACCAGCAATATTTTGGGACTATTTCACATACCAGATAGTTCAAGGCTGACTGTTAAAAAACCCATTTATTTATGAAATAATATTAACAGATTTTTTTCAAAATAAAAACTGTCATGAAACTGCCTGCATCAACCAGTAGCATTGTAATGTTGAAACAGAAAAGCTACCTTGGTATGATTTATAAATATCTGAAATCGGTTATCATGTCATCCGTTGGAATGTAAATTACCAGTAGACCACTCACTATATTTTGCAAACTATGCACAAAAGTATGCTACAGTAAATAATAGGGGTGTCACGAAACAGGTACCTCACGATACGATACGTATCTCGATTTTGAGGTCAAGATACGATACATATCTTGATTTTGAGGTCAAGATACGATACTTATCTCGATACAGCAATACCGACCTTTAATGTATAATTTTAGAAACAAACTTTATAATTACATATTACATTCACAATTATGTGTTCTAATCACTATCAGCAGATTATTTTGTAAAATAATAATATTTAGAAAGGTTTATTCAAACAAGTGTCAGAAACTAACAAGTTTTCATATGTGTTAAATTCAGAAAATATGATGACATTTAGATTTGAATAAAAAATCAATTGATACACGAACAAGTGGATACCGATTTCAATAAAATTTCGTATCGATATAAATTTACATGTATCTCGTATCGTGAGAATTATCTACCGATGCATCGGTACAATCAGTGAATCGTGACATCCCTAGTGAATAATATTGCTTATAATACCAGACCCGACTCTAATGTTTACAGGCTGGTGTCTTACATCTGGAGTACTAAGTAAGGATAGGAATTTATGGATGAAAAACTTCTTTAATACAATTAAGAGCGATGTTTCGATGTAGGTTCTAACACCGTTATCAAGCAAGTCGCTCCTAATTGTTGTTCATCCGTAAATTCTTATCCTTATTTAGTATTCCAACTTCTAAATGCCTATCAAAGAAGCTGGAGTATTGTTGATTCTGGTCTGAAACAATAACAATTAGTGAGAATGTGAAAGATGGCGTGGCACCATGACCAAGCACGGTATAGGTACCAGAAGCTCCACTTGGAAGATTCAAAATCACCAATATCGGGTCGTAAGAGGCGATTTATCCTTGTCAAGGAGGCGACTGACAGGATCTGGTGGTCAGGCTCGCTAACTTGGTTGATGCATGTCATCATATCCCAATTGTGTAGATCGATGTTCATGATGTCAATCACTGGATTGTTTGGTCCCTGCTCAATTATTTACAAGCCACCTTACTATAGCTAGAATATTGCTGAGTGCAGCGTTAAACAACAAACAAACAAACAAACAAAACAAAGGAAAAATGACAGCAAGGTACTGATGAGCTTGCCAGATACAGGAAGCAGGAATATACAGATCAAGTGGTTCCTGCAAGTTACAGTGGCAAGGAAAGTACATATGTGTAGTCATGGAGACATCGTGAGAATCTGTTAAGGTGGACTGCCTCCGTGGTCTAGTGGTAGGGCGTCTGCCTGGTGTTCGATCCCTAGCTGCTTCATACCAATAGACGTTAAAAGATGGTACTTGTTGTTACCCTGCTTGGCGCTCGGTACTAAGGGGCTAAAAATGGACTAGTCGGCTCAGAGTCAATTTAATGTCTGAGTTGGTATACCGTATTTTGAGTATAGTGCGCACATTTTTTCCAAAAAACACAGCTGTGTAGAGGGGTAAGTGCAATAATCATGGAGTGAGTGAGTGAGTGAGTGAGTGAGTGAGTGAGTGAGTGAGTGAGTGAGTGAGTGAATGAGTGGAGTGAGTGAGTGAGTCGGCTACCCGACCGCCCCTCTACAACTTCAACCATGTTATGGCTGAGATATAATTTCTTCACAATTTTTCATAATCACCTACACTTGCATTAGTTCTACATGTTCAGAATGGCCAGAGAATCCTGGCTGAGAACTAACTGCAAAAACAACAGTGTGACGTCATCCTAATTGGTTCAAACCCAGGTACAGTATTAAGGGATACAAAGTGCGATCTTACCGTATAACAATTTTCGATGCGGTGGATAAGTACTTGCTCATGCCCTTGTCATAAGCAGCCAGCTGGCCACACAGGATCTTCACAGGCAGCATATCCTTAGTGGCAAAACCATTGTAGATCAGCAACTGAGGGTCAGAACACTGAGCTGAAACAGAAGCACAGCAACTTTACAAATAAACTGAGGGAAACAAATAAGGGAACACCACTTTATCCCACTATTCCTTTATTTATTTCCGGATTTTCACCCACAGAGCAATTCAAAGCATGCAAAGAAACCTGGAAAAGAATAAAGGAACGTGTACTTTCATGTGTTCCCTTATTTGTTTCCCTCAGTATATATTGGCCATTTGCATCAGCACAGGTTACACTATTTCATTGACCATAGCTGGATGTTCAAATTCAAATTCAAATGTTTTCGTATGAAAGACCAAATACATGATGTGAATACCATATAGTGCAAGATCATTTTACAAATACATTCATTTAAGTACATTTCTGCTCTTCAAGGCATTTTTGAAATACAACAGAAAAGATATTAAATCTTCATAACCTGCGGTTGCCATGAGGCAAATAATAAATTGTTGGACTGAGGGTCGAACTACATATTTATTTGGGATGTATTGCTTTTGAATGTCTTTTAAGGACGGACATTAACATGTATAGGTGAAATGATAGAGATTTTTTATATTGCTTAGGTTTCAATATGTACATAATCTTTCAGATTTTGGAATTTTGTGGTGTCTACCAATATCAGAATTAAGCCTTGTCATCCAATTCGAGCACAAGCAAATTCAGTAGGAAATGTACACATGGTCAAATCTGCTAAATCTCTTTTTGCTTCAAGACTTATCTTAAAAAACGTAAAACATTTATATTTAGTACCAGATGATAATATGTTAGTGCATTGAGGGCACAGGTGGCCCAGTTGTGTTAAAGAAGCTCCTATTTACTGTGCAGCATGCCAGATACCAAGATTGTGTGTTCGAATCCCAGATTTACCCTGAATAATTTTCCTGGTTTGTCAGAACCATACCCCCGCTCATGGGTTTCACCAGAATGACAAATGTCTAGGACCTGCTTCTTCCATCTTCCTGAGGCAAGAGAGTTAACTGACTTTAAAAGTCCAGTTTCCACCAATGCCGAACAAGGCTGGAATTTCTGGGCTCGATCGTAGCACCACCAGTGGCTATTACCAGTCTTGTCACTTCTAAGCCTCTCCTATGGGCCAATCAGATTCCACCTCTCGTATCACTTGCGTTTGCTTCACACAAAATTGTGGCGCCCGGTCAGGACGATCTGATCAAAATCAAGATCTATATTGTGATACAACGGGTCTTACATCACGAAATGCATCAAATCACGTGAGCACCTTGATTAAAAACATATCTGCTGACAACGAGTTGGCGGTGCACATGCTTTGCAAATCCTGCAATCTATCGAAATCTACACGACAGTTTACGAACCGGATTTCGATTTTGGTGTGCAATTTTGATTGGACTACGCATAGATTTGTTAGTCCAGCCATAATGTAACTCCATAATACCAGCCTAGTTCGGCAAGTGTGGAAACTTTTATAGTCAGTTAACTCTCTTGCCTCGGGAAGATGACTTCTTCAAGTCCTTCACACCAGACTGACATGCATGGTATGAACGAAAAACTGTTCACAGTGGCACTAAACTAACCAACTCACTCACTGTCAAATCACCATTGCAAGAATGCCTGAGACCCTTGTTGGCACAGGGTTATGACAACCTTGTTATGATGACATCACCTTGTGTGATGAAGTCGCACATGTTCATACAGACTGACATGAAGATCAGTATAAAACACAACAAATAGGCCAGTTGGGTTTTCTTGTTGGTTCTGAGATGTTTTACTAAAAGATCAAAGGAGCGTGTAAAATACACTTCTCCAATAAAGTACACTTTTTGGGTTATGTCAGAATTGGCTGAAGTGATGATGCTTTCAAATTCCCCCACCCCCTCCCTGTGATCTAAGATATCCGTGATAACAAGGTTCTGTCATAACTTTTAATCAAGTCTATGAAGCCACATCTATCATCAGTAGGTGGAATAGATTCTTAAAACTTGTCAAATAATTGAATAAAATTCTGTTTTAAAATGTCAAGGCACTCGGATGCAAGCATTCTTGTTCTTTAACTTTTATAGTTTAGAGCAAAACTATACTCTATTTAAGAATTACACGATGAGGGGGAGTTGTTTAGGGTACAATAAAACACTGCAGGAGGAATAATCCAAGAAGGGCATGAGTGGTTTGATGGAATAAAGTCGCACATCAACAATGAGTATTTGTATGATGTATTCAGCAATGAAATTATATATTTATTTGAAAATATGAAATCAATATTTTCTCACAATGAGACCAGAGCTACTTGCAGTCAGCATCATGGACACTACAATTTTCAGAGTCCGTTCATGAAGATCGGTAAAATATGCAATAAATAGAACATTATTTTGTTTTATCTTGTTCACAAAACATGTTTATTGTGAGGGATCTATCGTGTTCAACCTGGGGAGATAACTCACAGTTTATTTGCATCTTAACTTTTCAAACAGGCATGTTGCAACATGCGGTCCAATGTATTGATGCACACTGACTTTGCTAAGAAAAAGACAAGTTGTGTCGTTTGTGTGGGAAATTACTTTGGCATCTTCTGAGGCAAGGGAGTTAAATGACTATGAAAGTCCAGTTTCCACCCTTGCCAATCTAGGCAGGAATTTCATGGCTCAGCTGCAGTAACACCAGTGGCTGTTACAAGTTATGTCCCATCTATTGACAAATCAGATTCCACCTGTCATATCGCTTGCATTTACTTCAAACAAAATGGCAGTGCCCAGTCAGATCACTTGAGCACCTTGATAAAAATCATGAATAGATTTGAAAAATGTCAGTCAACGCCCATTTGACAGTACTCATGCTTTGCAAATCCTGCAATCGACTGAAATCTGCATGTTGTTTACAGACTTGGGTACTTAAGTGCTATTTTTTTTCTACCCTTCAGTGCCATATTGATCTCATCTTGTGACCAAAGAATTGTAAGATTGTGTCACTCATGGCTGCCACACTCCTGAATACGTCAACATTATCAGGTCATGCAATGAGACAAACATGTTATTTGACAGGAGGACATACAGGTGAAATGTATATTGCTGATTGGCATTGAACATCACTCAGTCACTCAACCTCTCACTCAACCACTCATTCAACCAATCACTCAACCATCCACACACTCACAATAGGTCAACTGACATATCTAGAAAATAGGTGGTGTTATTGATGCCAAAAGCTGATTTCACTTCCTGGGAATAGGTAATCAATACCAAAGACTAAGGACAGATTTTTTTACAGCCTCCTGCCACACAAAATGAATTCACTTGGGACCCACATTCTGTGCAGTTCTAGTGGTTGATCCTGTAGGGAGATGGTGCTTATCTCCCTTGAAGAAATACACATGGACCTCCATTGACATGAGCAAAGAATAGTACCTTTGTAGTCCACAACATTTGGGTCAACTAGCCTGGACCTGCATCTTTTGGCATCAGTTACAGCAGATGCTAGTGCTTGTGTATGGAATATTGTCAGATGAGTTACTACACCAAGGGGGTACGGGTGGTCAGTCGTCTAAGGCACCATGATTCGCTGTGCAGAGTTGCGTCCCTTGGGCACGCCAGAAACCTATGATTGTGGGTTCGAATCCCGGTTCGCCCCAATTATGTTTCTAGGTTTGTCAGAACCATACCCGTGCTCGTGGGTTTCTCCGAAGTGGTAAATGTCTGAGACATGCATCACTTCAGCCTTTCCTCCTACATTAAGCTGACACGCCGTGATATAACTGGAATACTATTAAAAGCGGCGTTAAACCCAACTCACTCAATCACTCACTACCAAGCCAGGGCTCTAGTGCCAGATTGTCGTTTCTGCACTGACTGAAGGATACAAGTATCCAACCGTATTTTTCAAAACTGACACTCACTCATCAATTCAAGTTTATGATACCATTTATATAGAGAATTCAAGAGAACCTGAGAAATGGCTCTCAATCTTATCTGGCAGAAAGTGTCGAAACATTCTTTAAAGATTGAGAGTGGGTGTTTTAATATTGAAAAACTACAAACGGAGATATTGGGCTGTTGATAGATCTACTGGACAGAATAAAACATTTACAATAATCAGGTTTTGGACTTGTGGCTCAATTCCTAGTCTACCTTTGTATTATCATAACACAGATGAATTCATCAACATCCCCCTCCATCCTTGGTTGACTTGTAACCCCATTGAAGTTATGAACTCAGTTTGTGCGGAGCGGTTGGGTAGCCTAGTGGTTAAAGCATTCGCTCATCATGCCAAAGACCTGGGTTCGATTCCCAACATGGATACAATGTGTGAAGCCCTGCCGTGATATCGCGGGAATATTGCTAAAAGTGGCGTAAAACCAAAGTCACTCACTCACTCCAATTAAAAGGGGCAAGGTGGCCCAGTCATCTAAGGTGCCACAATTCGCTGCGCAGAGTTGCCTTCCTTGGTCATGCCAGAAACCTATGATTATGTGTTTCGAATTCCAGTTCGCCCCGATCACGTTTCCAGGTTTGTCAGCACCTTACCCATGCTCATGGGTTTCACCAAAGTGGTAAACGTCTTAGACCTGCATCACTTTGGGCTTTCCTCCCACATTAAGCTGACTAGAATACTGTTAAAAGCGGCATTAAACTCAACTCACTCACTCACTTACTCACTCACAAAAAAAACCCGCTGTTCCCTTGTCTGCTGTAGGTTCATCACTAAATATACTGTGGCAAATATATATATGTGATTCAGACTGACACACGCATGAGCAGGTCCTGTCAGATCACAACACATTCTCCACGCGGAAGACATATTAATCTGAAATGATATCCAGGCGGATTCACAAAGTTGGCAAGCGATAACACAACTTGAATCATGGCAGGGGTAGGATCTGATTAGCTTTCTCAGTAAATGGCTTCCAAGACTTGTGGTGTAATTCATCTTACCTTAAACACATTAATCTTGATCATTGCATATTCTATTGATTTCAATTGCAATAATTAGCTACGTCTAGACGACCTCCAACCTGTTATTGAACGAATATTTTCTACCCTTGGTCCA